GCAGGAATTGCGTGGGATGTGTTCGTAACAGCATACTAGCATACTACCCATACTATTTCTGCAGTATGTACTGTATGTGTAGGGTGTGCAAATGTTCTTTATCTGTAACATTTGCCAAAACATGCAGTCACATTTACCGCTGTTGTTCGGTGAGTTTTCACTGACAAATCCATGCTGAAATTTCGCAAATGGGACCACAACTTAACATAAGAGTACACTGCACTAGGTACTATATCCCACAATGCAATGCACTCATCTTGACCTTCGATTTCTAGTGTGATCTAATATAATCTATCATTATTAACATCTCCTTTTTAACTCATTATTCGAGTCAAAAGTTGAGACATTTCTACACAAAATAGTGTGTACTGCAGTATGCTAGTATGTTATTCCAAACGTATCCGTTTAAACGATCAAATGGCCGTCCATTTCATAACCACCTGTTTCAGTTCAGCCATATGGACTCACTAGTAGATCCACAGAAAATCAAAACAGGCAATAATAAATAAAAAATAAGTTGTCATGAGGCATTTCTTTTTTTAACGCATGATGGTACCTGTGAAAAGTCTTTATTTCAGAAAATCGTTTTATTGTGAAAGCTTCGCTACTGACTGAATTTATTACATAAAGCACAAATTGTCGGTGTACAGGGCAGATTTTTGGCCGTTCCTGATATAAACGTGTTTGAGGCCTGAAACAGGCTCTATGCAGGATTGTAAATGCTTTAGCTACGCAAACTTGATTTCAGCTTGCATAGACTGTGTTTCTGGCCTGAGATGGTTGAGCAAAGCTGAGAGGATTGACTGAAAACTTCTCATCTGACTCTTTGCAGCTCTATTGGAAAGGGTTTAGATGTGTGATCTGGATCGTTAATGGCTTTATTTTGGCAGGGAGGATAATGACACACTAATTTGTTTGTTATTCGCCACTAAACAAGATGGTACTATAGCACTCAGCCAAAATTCTGCTCCTAGAGATGCTTTTATCTTTGGACAAAACCTTTTTTACAGCTACGTGACATTTGCAATTGAGTGAGTGTCTTAAAGATGTCAAGAAAAGGCTTGGAGCTTTTTGTTTTGTGTTACTGGCTGAAAAAAAATCTAATTGCTAATGCTAGTCAGAGCAGGTGTGTATAATTTAGAGGAAAGGGACAGTCTCATTCTAGAGGACATTGTGGACAATAGGACATTTCATGCATATACACTACCGTTCTCAAGTTTGAGGTTGTTAAGGCTTACCAAAACTCAATAAAAAACAGAAATATTGTGATATATTATTCCAATTTAAAATAATGGTTTTCTATTTGAATATATTTTCAAATGTAATTGATTCCTGTGATGCAAAGCTGAATTTTCAGCATCATTACTTCAGTCTTAAGAGTCACATGATCCTTCAGAAATCATTCTAATATGATGATTTGGTGCTCAAGACACATTTCTTAGTAATATCAATGTTCAAAACAGTTGTGCTGCTTCATATTTTTGTGGAAAGTGTGATACATTTTTGATAAATTTAAAGTTCACAACAACAGCATTTAACTGAAACATTATATTTTGTAACATTATAAGTGTCTTTACTGTCACGATTGATCAATTCAATGCATGCATGCTGAATAAAAGTATTAATTTCCTTTTAAAAAAAATCTTAGCCTACTTGAACTTTTGAACGGTAGTGCATATGTTTACACCGAGCAATAAGGTACTAGAATATCAAGGCTAAAAGGTTTTGTTAGGAGTTACAAAGTTAAACTGTTCTACATAAAAATATTTTTTTAATCAGCCTCTTGCCAGAAAATGAAGTCCCTGACATGTAAACTAATTTATTTTGTCAGCATTTAAGAGTACATTAGCCTCGAAGCTAACAGACATGAAATAAAAACCACAAAACTCCCAATTGTACTTTTTGTTTAAACAGGTTTTCTGTGAATGTGGCCCACTGAACTCAAGTTTTTAGCGGTTCAGGGAGTTTCACGGCCTTCTCTATGGAAGTGGCCTGATCTCGCTGGCCGTTACTGATCTGAGAGCAGCGGTATCATGGTAGCAGATGGCCTGCGATGTCAGATGTTGAGATCCCTCCGTTTCTGTCGGGGAGTTGGGCAGAGCTGCTTGGCGTGAAGTGCTTTGGCACGGGCCGGCCTTCCCTCTCTCTTCCCGTCTGCTTTAATACAACCACCGGGAGCTGCATTTGATCATAACTGCATGCGTGATTCTGACTCCATGCTTTCGAATCTACCCTTGCCAATTACTCTTTGATTTTAACGGGATAGTTCACTTAAAAATAAAGGTGTAATCATCATTTACTCACCCTCATGTTGTTCCAAATATCGTACACAAAAGAATATGGCTGGGTTGAAAATAATGATTCCTCGATTTTGATCGATACTTATTTTAAATGAGAATCTTCTTAAATGCCAAGAATCGATCTTGACGCTTAAACAAAACTTCACTAAACATTATTTGAATTAAGTGTATTTTATTTGTAGCGCGCCTCCTATCCAATAAATCGCAATAAGCATTGTTACTTTTGATATGAAACAAAGTCTTAGCTTTCAAATTCTCACAATTTTATTACGATAAATAAATAAATAAATCGCTGTGGTGCCTCAGTTCAAACTGCAGCGCGGAAAGCAAATCATCTTCCACTTTACAAAAAATTAGGATGAAATAAACATGAACGAACATAAGAAGGTATGTTGAAAAGATACAGTAAAACTTGCCAAAATGTATTGTGTCTCATGTAGTCGCAATCGCAAATCGCAAGATGTCAATAAACAGAGTAACAATGTCACGTAACGTACATTTATCTCAGGAAAGCCATTCAATGTCTATAAACTCAACATTTAGGTAGAAAAAATAACTCCAAGAGGAACATTTTGTTAAATATATGTGCTATATTACATATTTATTGTATTTTTATTTCACCTGTACCTCATTATTTAATGTACGTTTAAATAAATCCATCATGAAAATAAGCTTTTATGACAGCCACCATTTAGGCCTAAATGTTTCAAAAATGTAACAGAAGCATAATTATGTGATTACCACAAAAAATGCTTGATGTGCAGTTTAAATGTTTGTATACAAATCGGTTGTCAGTTTTTACCTTTAAACTGTTTAAACCTTTAATATTATAGTGATGAACTAACTGACAGGTTTCCCTACAGCATTAGTAGAATTTTTTTTCTTTGAAAATGAATCAAATCTAGATCAGAACTGAATCGAACTACAAGTTCATGAATCAAATTGAATTGTGAAATTGATCTCTTTTTCTGAAGAATCTTCACACATTTCCTGCCATAAAAAGACACAAAGGACATATAAACAATTCCAAAATTCCTCCTTTTGTGTTCCATCGGAAAAATAAAAGCATATTACAGATTTGGAACGACATGACGGTGAGTAAATAATTTTCATTTTTAGGACGAACTCTCCCTTTACAGCACAAGCACAGATGCAAGTCTCCGTAGTTGAGTGTAAAACGCTTCTTTTGACGCCTTTCTGTAGCCAAAACGTGCCTTAAAAAGTGTTAAATGTGATGGTACAGTGTGGAAGATGTCAGGGTGGGTGGGGTTTCGGTAGTCGTGGGGCGTGTAGAGGTCAGACGTCGTGGCGTACGTGAAGTGTGGTGTTAGACATCAGTAAGTGCAGTATTCAGAGGTGCGCTGTAGCCACAATATGCCAATAAATTTGAACATGCTGTATGTATAGAGCAAAAGCGCAGTTTTTAATATCTTTTGGGTGTTTGTGGTGAGTGTGTGCGTGTGCTTTTTAGGAGTTTTACTGCATTGGGAAAAATGCTTGAGCTGAATAAATGTGTGGAGGAGAATGTCAAAACGTTCCCTCTGGACAGCTGCCATAGAGTGGTGGAACTATGATGTCACTTTGTAGGCAAAAACCAGGAAGCGAGTTAGCATTTTAGCATTTCCAGTTCCATCGTCCTAGAGTCAATGGGTTTTTTGAATGGGATTTTGGTTAAATCCGTAAAATAAGGTCCGTGGTTCACACAAGCTCAAGATACTTTCACGTTTTATTCTACAACATAAAACACACCAGTTACACCTCACTCGGGATTTTTTTAAACTGTTACGTTTCTTAAAAAAAGACGGTTGCTAACAAGTTGCTAAATGGGACTACAGGCGCTGTCGGAGACATTCAACGTCATCACGCCGAACAGTTTATCAATTTACAGTATTTGCCAATCGTACGATAATTTGTAATACAATTAATTGTAGAATAACCAGTTAATAGTTTCCCGCATTTTATATTGTTGTTCGACAATGTGTTTTGCTTTGCCCCGAAATGCAACCACAAGTCTTCGGATGGAAGATGCTTGTTTTATTGCTTGTTTCCTCTGGGTTCGTACCATAAGGTAAACTCATATTATGATTATTCCATGTAAACACCACATTTACAGGCTTTATGTGGTCACGAAAGTGAAACTTTAATTATGCATAGTGCTTATAACAACGTTAAAAATCAAATGTTTACTGCCACATGAAGCTGTTAGAAAGCAGAAAGATGGAGGATTTTCTAGAAGCAGGGATCAAATAACATTTTGTGTAACCACCCTAACAAAATGATAGCTGAAATGTGGTACTTTATTAACTAAAATAAATGTTACCATATCCAAAAACTTGCGCACTCTGCTGTTATTTAATAGATTAAATGCACTAGAATTGTATTGAATACTACATGGAGACACGTTTTTCATTAAAATATTAAAATGATTTAAAAAGGTTTTATTGACTTTTAATGCACCTTATTTAGAAATGTACAGAAATATGTGCTTTCATATGTACTTTAGTTATGATTATTTCATTTATTCACTACTATTTATTATAAATGTCTCATTTCGGTTTTAATTTGGCTCTAGTTTTGTATTTATTCCAGTTTATATGAAAAGGTTCATGTAGCGTGGATTAA